TTTTGTGTTGTTTTTACCAGTCTTTCTTCTCAGAATATAGAATAATAATAAATCACCTTCCAATTAAGAATTACTAGAGAAAGTTAAATAAAGAGATTATTAAGGCTTAAAAATGTATTATGTATATTGTCACAGATTGAAATAACCACATGGTTAGGCGTAACACGTATTTAATAAAACGGAGCACTCTCTTCAACTGGAGGGACCAGCTTTTATATACCTAGAAGAATATTTGAGAAATAACTGGCATATGTGTGCCCGCTACATCTGATTTACATATGTACAAGAAATATCTGAATATAGTAGAGAAAGTTCTAATATCAACCAGATTCCAGAGTAATAAAAAATAACATTTTTAAATTAAAACTCCAGTCTTTGGATGAAGACGCACTGGTTGGAATTCAAACAAGGTATCGACGGATCTCCAGTCCAGTGCTCTAACAACTGAGCTACGGTGAATGATATCAATTCTTCCTTTATGCAGCAATATAATAACTTATGTTGAATATGTTCTAGAAATTCTTGCTTGTTTGAATTTTGTGCATATATTTATTTTAACTGTATTAATTATAAGAGTTGGGAAGTGAGTACAAAATTTAACTACTGATTTTTATTCATGATGTAAAAATGTGTTTAAGTTTTTGATATCCAAGCACTACCATTTAGCTTTTGATTATACAGAAAATCATTCTTATTACAACCACCTCTTGATTTAAAAAGGACAGGTCTTAAATTTCTAAATTCTTTCATGAATTTCAAGTCTGTAAGTCTAATAGTTCGAAAATGGAAAATTTCATCTGTAACACCAATTAACCTCTCACAACCTTCCTTGAAAGAAAATTTCTGTGAAACCTGCTCTTTGCGGATCTCTTCTCAGCAAAAGAATCGTGTGTTAGATATAAGTCTGTATGTCTAATAGTTCAGAAATGAGAATTTTTTTATATTTTATGTCTTGTAACCCCTTTTTGAAGTTGATTTTCATAAAACTTGTTCTTAGCAGATCTCCCCTCGACAAAAGAAACATGCTTGCCAAATTTCAAGTCTGCAAGTCCAATTTTTGAAAGATAGAAAATTGTTCATTTGTAACACCCATTTAACCTCTCTCAACCCCCCTCCCCCTGGGAGACCCATTCTTAGCAGATCTCTACTGAGCGAGAGAAGTGTGCTTACAAATATCAACACTGTAGGTCAAACAGTTTTAAACAGGAATATTTTATCTCCCCTCCCTAGCCTCCTGCAATCTTCCTTGGAAGTAGAGTTCTACAAATCCCATTCTAAGTGGGCATGATTGACAAAAAAAACTTGCTTGGCAGACTTCATCGGTAATACCACTTTAACCCCTCAGATTGATCCCTTTTGGACATCAGTTTCCAAAAAATCCTTTTTTACTAAACCTTTATTTTAAAAAAGATACATGTTTGCCAAATTTCAAATCTATGGGTGTAATAGCTCAAAAACAGATTTTTTTAAAATCTAAAATGGCCCTATAACCCCCTCCCCTCCCCAGCAACCCAACAAAGGAGTTGATTTCCTCAAAACCTGGTCTTAGCAGATTTCTACTTAACAAAAGAAACATGCTGGCCAAATTTCAAATCTATTGTTCTGAACTGATTGAGTGAGCAAGTCGCTTTTCTCCCATATATATTGATAAGGTTTTTTTACTGGAGATGTCCAGTGTAATATTAGCTATGTGATGGTCAATTTAAAAATCATATTCATTTTAAGAATTCTTAAGAGTTTTCTTTGTTATATGTGTATAGAAATTCACTTATTTTAAGTTACCAACTTAAAATATTTATTTTAAATAGCTTCTTCGAGAGCTGAAGCATCCAAATGTCATTAGCCTTCAAAGGGTTTTCCTTTCTCACACTGACAGAAAAGTTTTCCTTTTATTTGATTATGCAGAACATGACTTATGGGTAAGTTCACTTGCTTTATGATTTTATATGCACAACAGAGAAATGTATTGTACATTGGATAGTCATGAATGTCTAAATTTATTTCCATGGTTTATTCAAAGTGTTAAATTACTTTTATTGTGTTGCATAAACTTAATTTGTAAATACTTAAAGTTTAAAAAAGTAGAAAAATTTACTTTTAAAATAAAAGGATGTTACAATTGAAAATTCCCTAGACTTTTTAATTCTAAATAATAGAAGGATATTTTATGTTCTGTATTTCCTTAATACTTTTATGGAAGAAAATGTAACCCATGATACAGCCTTTTATTGGTTTTCATTGGGTCATCTTTACAAATAAATAAAATTTAAGTGTCCATTTGTAATTTCAAATCAACAGCTTTTTACAAAATGCATTTAAATGTATACAGGGTACTTATATCAAAAAATCAATTTTTAAAATTTTTGTCTGTCTGTCTGATCTCTGAAATGGCGGCTGGACCGATTTTAAAAAATCTTTCACCTGTGGAAAGCTAAATTATCAGCGAGTAACATAGAACACATGTACAATGAAGCACTAGTTGAAAATAAGGTTTTCACAATGGTTGGGGGAAAAATACATGATTTTTTGGAATGATTAGTCCCTGGCAAGTCAACGGAAATGACTTTAATAATAAAATTGCTCAATAATCAGACTACGATTTTGTAGCATTGTAATATCAAGCAACAGAATTAATCCCTCAATTAATTCCAGAACAAAGTTATGTTTTTCGTCAAGTGGTACATAAAATGGAATCCGGAAGTGGGGCACTCTTTTTTTCTCAAGACTCTGGAAGAACCAGAAAATCTTAAAGTCAGTCTTTTTGTTTAACTTATTAATGTGGGTCAGAAAAAACTAGAAGATAACAGTTGCTGTGGCTTCTTTTGGTATAGCCGCGACACTACTGACCAGTGGTCATACCGCACATTCTGTTTTAAAATTACTGTTGAATATGGCAAATGATGATTCACCCATCTGCAATTTCAGCAAAAATAGCTCTTGAGGCAGGATGCTTCGACAATGTAAGCTTTTAGTGTGGGATGAAAGTACGATGTCTAACAAGAAAGCTTTAGAAGTGTTAAATCAGACTCTTCAGGATTTACGAGATAATACAGATATTATGGTAGGAATGGTAGTTTTATTGGCTGGTGATTTCTGACAAACTCTCCCTGTAATCCAGAGGAGTACATTGGTGGATGAAATCAGATCCTGTATTAAATCATCAAGTTTATGGGCAAAAGTTAAAAAATTCAGTCTGAAAACGGATATGAGAGTGCATCATGATGTAGATTCGAAACATTATACTGAGACACAATTGAAAATCGGTGATGGATGTTTGGATGCAGATGCTGAAGGTTTACTTTCCAGAGAATTTTGTAATGTAATAGAAAATGATGTAGATATTATTGCTCAAATTTACCTGGGCTTGCAACAAAATTTAATTTGTGATCAGTGGTTGTGCGCAAGTTCAATATTGGCGCCTAACAATAACAAAAAAATATTTTATTCAAATTAATTTTTACTGTATTTATATCTGTATTTTATAAATATCCATCTACTTAAAAAACTGCCTATTAAAAACTATTTGCATTTTTAAGATCATTCCAATTTGTCTTATTTCATTCTTCCTAAATTTTTTGTACTATAAATATATTGTTTCATTGAAAAATTATAATTAACATTCATTGATAACTTCGTTTAAGGAAATTGAAATTGTGTAATATGATTAGCTAATTTGTTACTTTTCAAAGACTGTCGTACGTTTCAGTTATGTTGTAACCCCTTCTTTCTCATTTCCATCAAAATCGGAGGGTAAAATATCCCTCTATTTTTTGTGCCTATGATATTTTCGGGCTGGAGTGTTCAAAAGTAACACGCTAAAAAATAAAAACTATCTATTTCTTATGCCCGGAATCATGTTCATTTCTCACCAGATGGCAATACCAGATTATTAGTAAAGTGTTTAGAGATGGTTATTTTATTTTAAACTAGATTTTAGCATACTCAAACATAAGTAATAGCGGTTAATTTTTGTAACCATAGTTCAGTTACTTTGTTCCACTCTTCGTGAATGCCCGTAGGTTGCAAATCTGTGATAAAAAATATAAATTTTTGAATAATATGCATTATGTGGAGTTAGTCATTGAAGTAGAATCCGATTCATTTCATGACTCCACATATCTATATTTGAAAGATCTGAGAGAGATTCTAAAATAACTGATTGTTTTGAAAGTTTGGTTAGGGAATCTGAGAGTAGTGATGATGGATTTGTACTGTTACCTGTGATGTTGGCCGTTGTATCTCGTGCTTTGAAATTTATCTCACTTGAAAAAATTACTAATGTATATTTACATTATGCACATAAATGTAAAAAAAAAATTTTCTTGTTGCTAAAAAACCAACATTCAGTCATAACCCTAAATGTTGGCTTTTCTTTAAAAAATAGTTTTTTGTATTTCAAGTTAAAAATTTACACAATTTCAAAATAAATACCAATACTGTGCATACACTTTGTTTTATATAATTTTTTTAATAAAAAAAATAGCACTTTTATGACTTTTCTTCAAAATTATGCAACCATTTAGGGGTTAATTAATAAAAGCAATTACTTTGAAATGTTTTTGCTAATTTAAAGAAAGTTTCAGCTAAAAGATTGGCTGTTTTTATATCCCAATATTATTTAAATGTGAATTGATGAGATAATTAAAATTTTTGAAACACCTGGCAGACCCAGAATGAATTTAAAGCTTTTTTGTTGTTTCTAATGCCACCTGTCTGACGGTGTCAGACTGAGGCCCACAAAATTCATTTTGACAAGGGTCGAGGTGTATGCCTGTCATTAGCTTTTGAGCACCATGTACATGACAGTATGATTTGTCTCGGTTCATACACAATAGATGGTGACACTATTGTCCACTATCACAATTTAGGCATGGAACTGGAGGAGAGGGAAATATTCTCCAGCTCCCTGCACCTGTGGTTTCAGCTACACCCGCCCACAAGATTTTCGGACCCACTGATTTAACGAGCACATACTCTGTGTGTACTTGCAGCTTATTTGGTGGCATAGGGCATCAAACCCACGCCTTTCGTTCTGGAGACAAATGCTCTAACCACTAGGCTGCCCACTGCCCTCTTTTGAAAGCTTTTTTAAATAGGCGGGGAAAATATAGAAATTTTCCTTTCCCTACCTTTCATGGTACACTTTCTTGAAGAAAGTAGATTATTCACTATTAGATTTATTTCTAAAATATTCTTTTTTAAAGCTCTACATCAGTGATTCCCAAAGGGGTCTACGCCAGCCAAAAATTAATTTGGGGGTCCATGAGGTGTAAGTGGGGTCTATGATAGTGGCTCACATTAAATTAAACCGTGACTAATTTTTAAAAAAAATTTACAATCAATTTACCTATTTAACAGATTTATTTACCAAATATGATGAAATTTGCATTTACAAAGTGACAGCATAAATTTTATTAAAGCAAACATTTAAGCTTCTCTTTCCTGAGTTAAGTAAAAGAAGTATAATACTGAAGGTTCCGAATTTTCTAAACCTGTCACAGACATTCTGTCAGAACGTTTTAACCTACCTTCAACATTTAAATGCCTTTTATTCAAATTTTGAAGTTAGGTTTGAGAATGATTTAACTATGGCAATATAGTAGGCAATGAATTCTTATAGTCATATCGAAAAAAATGTCACATTACAATAGGAACTGATCATAATAAACACTAACGAAGATCTTAAAGTTTAGAAACAGATGCCAGCAATTTTGGCTTTAAAAAGTCAAACCTGTTATTTGTCTCGACATTTGGAATATCGTGAGGAAGTTTTTCATTGCTTTTCCTAGTGTGAAGAATCTTCAGTGCAGTTGCCAATCTCAAAGAAAAAGAAAAAAAATTGGACTCTTGACAGAGGAAATTTAAGGTTAAACCAGACAAGGTTAATATTAAATGTTGAAAATTTTATATTGTAGTGCTAAAGATTCCTTCCTCCCTTTAAAATCATTTGTTTGTTGTTTAGTTAGTTTATTTAACAGTTGTGTTTATTAATTAACTTTTAATTTAATTAACATGTGCTTTTTAAATTTTAAACATTACAGTTAGAAACATTACAGTTTCATTACAGTTAGAAATTTAATTCTTTTAAAGTAAGAGTTGTAGTACCAGCTGTCAAAAAGACATTTAAGTTCATAAATTTGCAAAAATTCAATATTAATTAAGCAGGGGTCTACCCCAAACCAAAAAACATGGCAAAGGGGCAAAAGTTTGGGAACCTCTGCTCTACATCTTAAAGAATCATTTGTGGATGTCAAAATTGTTAATATTTGGAAGGTGGGGGGCATTATGTAATATTTTAATGATAAAATTTTTTTGTATGTTTATGTTAGTATAAAGTTTCTAATTTAATTCTACTTTGCAGCATATTATCAAATTTCACAGAGCTGCCAAAGCCAATAAAAAACCAGTGATGGTGCCAAAAGGAATGGTAAAGTCACTTTTATATCAAATTTTAGATGGTATCCATTACTTACATTCCAATTGGGTGCTACATAGAGATTTGGTAAGTAATTAAACATTCTGATTGTATTAAATTTTATTTTGAAATTTTTTTATTGTTCTTATTTATGTTATGAAAATACAATTTAAAAAAAATAACATTATACATATATATATACTAGCCGTTACCCGCCCGCTTCACTGGGTATTTCATGATGTTTTATAAATTTTTACTGCTTATATATATGTATAAATTATTGATATCTAAGTCCTAGCATTAAGAATTCGATTGAATTGAAAAATATACTTATACCTGTAACTGTCAACTGTTGATAAAAAAAAAAGGGCAGAAGTCATCTAATTTGTGTTTTCTAAAAATCTCTGAAATTGAAGCATAGAATGATGTTTGCTCTTTCGTAACTCAAAAACCAAGTGGATTCCCGCAAAACCAATTTTCGGTGGATCTCTACTCCGTAAATTGAACATGCAAGCCAAATTTCAAGTCTAAATCTAACAGAAAAAAGCAAAAGTTTTACTATAAATATCCCCGTAATCCCGTTGAGAGCCGTTTTCCAAAAGTACTGCTCTTAGCGGATTTCAATTCAACAAAAGAAAAATGCAAACCAAATTTCATTATTATAGTCCTTGTAGCTCGAAAAAAGGATTTTTTTTGTCAATATGTCCCAGTAACCCCCTGCACACCCCCAGAACTTGATTTGCTTAAAATACATACTTAGTGGATCCCTATTCAACAAAAGAAACTTGTTTAACAAATTTCAGGTATTTGGATCTAACAATTAAAAACAGGCCTTTTTTTCTGTAACTCCTCTTGACCTCTCGCAACCCTCCTTGGGGGTCAATTTTCATTTTACTCTTTGTTAGAGGAACTCTATTCCATGAAAGGAACATGCCTACCAATTTTCAAGCAGGATGATCAAATAGTTTAAAAATGGAAATGTTTATCGATTACGCCTCAATCTCCTGAAATTAAACTTGGTAGTTCATATTCGTGAAACCCATTTTGTAGCGGTTCTCTACTTTATGAAAGGAATCTGCTTATCAAATTTCAAGACTGTACGTCTAATAGTTTAAAAATGGGATAATTATCTATAACGCCACTTGAGCCCCCGCAACGCCACTTCTGGGTCTGTTTTCACAAAATCCATTTTGTAGGGAAATGGCACTCTATGAAAGGAATCTGCTTAGCAAAATTTGAAGACTGTATGTCCAATAAATTAAAAATGCAAAAAAATATATATATATCAATAACGCCGCTTGAACCCCCGCAACGCTACCTAAGGGTCGATTTTCACAAAACACATTTTGTAGTATATCTCTATCCTATAAGAGGAATCTGCTTACCAAATTTCAAGACTGTGCGTCTAATAGTTTAAAAATAGAAATAATTATTTATATCTGCTCTTAACCCCTCGCAACACCACTTGGGGGTCAATTTTCCCCAAACCCGTTTTGTAGCGGATATTTACTCCATGAAAGAAACATTCCTACCAATTTTCAAGCAGGTAGGTCAAGTAGTTTAAAAACGAAAATATTTATCTCTTACGCCACTTAATCCCCCGCAACGCCACTTAGAGGTCTGTTTTCACAAAACCTTCTTATAGCTGATCTCTACTCTATGAAAGAAATCTATTTATCAAATATAAAGACTGTGCGTCTAATAGTTTAAAAATGGAAATAATTATCTATAACGCCCCTTAAGTCCTGCAACGCCACTTGGGGGCAATTTTCACGAAACTCATTTTTTAGCGTATCTCTAACCTATGAGAGGAATCTGCTTATTAAGTTTCAAGACTGTATGTCTAATAACTTAAAAATTGGAATTTATAACGCCCCTTAAACCCCCGCAACAACCCTTGGGAGTCAATTTTCCCAAAACCCATTTTGTGGTGGATATATACTCCATGAAAGAAACTTACGTACCAATTTTCAAGCAGGTAGGTCGAGTAGTTTAAAAACGAAAATATTTATCTATTACGCCTCTTAATCCCCCGCAACACCACTTAGAGGTGTGTTTTCACAAAACCCGTTTTGTAACTGATCATTATTCTACGAAAGGAATCGTATTTATCAAATTTAAAGACTGTGTGTCAAATAGTTTAAAAATGGAAATAATTATCTATAACGCCCCCTAAGCCCCTGCAACGCCACTTGGGGGTCGATTTTCACCAAACTTATTTTGTAGCAGATCTCTACTGTATGAAAGGAATCTGCTTACCCAATTTCAAAATTGTACATTTAGTAGTTTAAACATGGAAACAATTATTTATAACGCCCCTTGCGTTTCGAATTTTGGAAAATCCCTTCTTAGCTGATGTCTACTCTATGAAAGGAACATGTCTACCAAATTTCAAGTCTGTAGGTTGAATAGTTCAAGATATCGTGATTAATTAGTCAGTCAGTGAGTGAGTCGCTTTTCTCCTTTATATATATAGATATACAGTCGGACCTCTGCTTAATGAAGTGGCTAAATCCAAAAAAAAAAGGTTCATTATATGAAAAATTCATTAAATAGAGATTCATTTACAATATGCATTACTTTCTTGGTTCCATGATAAAGTTGGTAAAACAGATATTCACAAAGTAGAGGTTCATAAAATGAAGGTTCAACTGTATGCTATATAAGCATAATTCTAAATAATCATAAGTAGAAGTATAACCAAACAATATAGATAAGAAATAAGTAGCCACAGTAGTAGTAAATTGGAAAGATTATTTATAAATCAAGCTTAAAATCTAATTTATTTTTAAGGAAAATTTAAGAAAAAGAGGCCATCGATCATACAGAACAAGACTAATGTATTTACATTTATTTAACCTGTCCCACCATCTTGTGACTGTATGCAGTAAAATTGAAAACATTATACTTAAAAATAATATAAAATAAATTTAGTAACTAATAAGTAGAACAAAAATAAAATTTAAACCCCTAATAAAAAATATTATTTTTAAAATTTCTCATGAGATTTGAACCTATTAAAAATATAACTGTAAAAAAATCAATGAGATATCGTGTTCAATAACTATTTAATATATTAAGTGATATTAGATTTATCACTAACCAATATATTATAATGATTCATGTAGTTAATAATATTTCTATGAATAAAAATTAATTATTCAAATTCCATAAAGGCTTTTTAATAATATTAAAGTTTTAGTGCATTTCTTTTATCATAAATATTACTATGTGAAATTTATTATCCGTAATATACAACAATACATCTGAGTAAACACCCTCAATACTGTGTATAATATGTATATTAAACCTTTGATAATGTATTCTGCGAGTTGATGATAACAAGTGCAGCTAAAACAACATCTAATCCGGGCAATGCAGTTTTTAACAAATAATAAACCTATTGAAGATATTATTAAAGAAAAGCATTAATTTTATTTGAGAAACTTATTAGACTACTTCAAATAATTATTGGAGAGAATATAAGACAGAACAATTAAAAAGTTAAAAACTCAACAGGAATTCGTGCAAAAAAACTGAGTATCGCCTTGAACTTTCTGGTAATCCTGAATTGTTGTACCCAATTAGGAAAAAGAATGGTGGAGATAATGAGTTACATGTACATGTATTGGAAACTATTTACAGTGAT